TGTGTGGAAGGAGGCGACATAGCGCTGGATGACGGGGTAGAGGTAGGCTTCTGAGCATGTTGAGGTGCTGCGGTTGAGAAATTTGATGGTGGGAGAGGTTGATGACGAGGTTGTCACGTAAGAGAAGGCGAACTCGGGAGAGCGGGCGAGGGAGGCGACGAGGTCTTCGTGGGCGGGATAGAGGTAGGCGTGCATGAAGGAGATTGCGACGGAGGTGTAGCCTGCATCTTTGAGGGCGCGGAGTTGGGAGCGGATGAGATCTGGGTCTGGACGGCGGAGGATGCGGATTAGATCGCCGTTTGGTGTACTGACGAGGTCTCCTTCTCGGAGAGTAGTTGATGAGGATGAGGTTGGTGATGATACTGAGGCGGACTTCAGAGCGGCTTCCTTGTCTAGTGGCGTTGGATTGAGATCGTACTCTGCCGGCACGACGCGCTCATCGATCTCAACGACGGTCGAGTGTAAAGCCCTGGGCTTGCGAATGTTGAGATCAAAGAGTTTCGGACGGGATTGATCGCCGATGACGCAGACATCTTTGAAGCCTTTGGTGGTGAGGAAGGCGAAGCGCTCGCCCTTGTGTTCTAAGAGGGCATTTGTCGCGACTGTGGTGCCGATGCGGCATGATGCTAGGAAAGTGTTAGAAACAAGATTGAAGAGAGTTGATTAAATGAGTATGCACCGATGCGCGACCCATCAAGTTTTTGGCCGATGGGGATGGGCTTCCCCTCCACGAATTCGAGGACGCGCCTGATGGCTTCTGTTGGGGCGTCAGGGTAGTTTGCCGGGTCTTCGGAGAGGAGCTTGAAGATGAGGGGTTCACGGCCGTCAATTTCGGCGATGACGTCGCAGAATGTGCCGCCGCGGTCGATTGAGACTCTGATGTCGGCGGCCATGATGCTCAGGAGAGATTGGCAGTTCCTCGTGGTGTTGATTCTCAGATGAGTTTTGGCCGTGAGTCAGGACTTAGGGATTCAGGATAATGTTTTCAGTGAGTGCTCATAATTGAGAGTGAGCTGAAGTGCACAAGAACTCGCTTAATTCCAGCCTTCAAGAACGTGGTTTATGAGCGGACAGGAGTAGAACTCATCACCATACATAAGAGAATGTCATGAGAAGTCTCATTAGTCTTGCCGTTCCTTGCGGCAATTGATACCGAGTGTCTGGTGGGAGGGTCCGCCGATTCCGCCCCTCCTCAGACTACTCACAAAATAAACAAGCGTCTGCTAGTCGGGCGTGTCGGGCGGCACGATTACGTGCGACCGGACGCCATCCGCCTTCTGCAGACCCAGCGTCGGGTCGTCTCCGACAAAGACTCTACTTCGCCAGCTCATGCTTATCGCCCGTCAAGTGAAATCGGCTAAATGGGTTCGGTATTGTGTCTACATTTCAAGAGGTTCATCTGGCGGGAACGAGTTTACATACGATTGCGCCATTGATTCCACAGAATGCGCGCCTTAAGTCATCCCCGGATGTTTGCCCCGGGGGACGGGTCGATCATGACCCCTCTCATAAGTTACGTGAGCACCGCGGTGTCCGGCTTCCGAGGCCGGAACCAGGGTGCGCCGCCGTCTGTCAACCGGAGCTTTCCTGTTATGTTTGCGAAGAGCAGAATGCTTGAGCTAAGTTTTGGAGATCGCGTGGCAAGTATCGTTCAGTTCGGACGGAATAACGTGGGAGACTGAGTCGAAGGCCAAAAGACACGCCGATCACTCAAAAAACATGGCAGTCTCGGGCAGACAACCTTGTTAGGCACTCTCGTGGCACACAACTCTGCGCCCGCCTTTATCACTGTTGGGCTCTCCCTTCGATGAGTTTGTCAACTGAGAGCAGCTCAGACGCCATTGTGTCCCTGAGATGGGTTTTTGTGGCAGCAATACTGTGTGCACTGGACTGGAACTCAACAACTTCGAACATTTCCACTAAACTCGGCAATGTGCGTTTGCAACATCGCTTGGGTCAACAGAATCACTGGCTACGATGGGATCTATCTTCTGCCATCTACCTCACCTCATGGTAACACTCGATTCTCGTTTCCGGCGAATCAACTGGCAACAAAGTGTTGTTAGCAGTCGACTCAGAATATGCACGTTGAATCTCCCGACTTTTTGCGACTGACTCGGCGCGTTGTGGGCTGACGTGAAGAGAGCCCGGAGGCCTACACTCTGAGCTCACTGGTTTAGGATCGCTAGACATCACCAAGGTCATACGCGAACCTTGAGACTTATCAAAGACTTAGCAAGACTTGCTAATCTTGCTCAACGCGCGCGCCTCGTGGTCCATAGACCCAAACACCTGAAAGCGGCATGACATTTCCGGAGCCCAGTATCCGCAATTGAATCTGGGGAAAGCCTTGGCTACTTTCACTTTCCACCAACGAGCTACCCAGGCAAAGCGCGCCGAGTGAGCCAACGTCCAACAGCGCTCCGCTTTGCAATATAATTAAGTTGCCATTGTCCGTCCGATTGCTTTGTCCGGCAACTGTTTCCCAGGGGAATGCTATACAGACTTAGCTACTAATCAGGGCTGCGAGACACCACGCGTTCAAGTTGAAACGTCACTGTTAATATAAATGGAACGCATGAGAGCAAAGCCACGCCACAGAAGCCCGAAAGTGTTCGTCTCAGCACACGGGTCTTTTTAAGGTTCTCGGTTGGGCGGCACTACGCACCAAGCCCACGGTTCCACGGCGACACCGACTACCCATCCCACTCGGAAGCTCTCGAGTTGCGTCGCTTCGCTTAGGATGGCCTCGAGACATCGGCTCGAGTCAGCGAAATTATGATGCTCTATCAAAGGCTTGAACGGCAGTTGCTCTCCGTGAATCGACGAGAGAAAATTCTATATAAGTAATTGGGTGAACCCTTCAATGGCGTGACATTTCTCCCTCATCTCAACATCACTCACTCACACAACTGTCTCTCTCGCTATAACTCACTACCAAGTATCAACTTGCCGCCCTTTCGATCTCATTCAATCACCACCATAAACAACAGCCAAAATGCAGTTCCCTACCTTCGCCGTCCTCGCCAGCATCATGGTCGCTGGCGCCTCCGCTCAGGCCACCTACGAGACCGCAAACTACCTGTCCGTTTGCCAGCAGGGCACCAACCTCTTCTGCACGGGCAACACCAACGTCTGCCAGAAGGGCAAGACGGACACCTTTGACGCCAAGGCTACCAAGGCCAACGAGGAAGCCTGCAAGGGCCTTCAGCGCGGCAACAGCTGCACGCAGACTGTCGCTTGCGTCTAAATTCTCTGGACCAAGTTCGTTTCTTTGATCATTCTCAAGCGATGAGGGAGGAATAGATTGTTTTCGGCATGGTTGATGGCGTTGTTGTTTAGCATAAGCATTGGCGAGGAAAGGGGTCGGCCGCGAAATGGGGCACCCGCTGCATCAAGATCGCAAGTGAGAACGGCCAGCCTGAATTGGACTTCGCATCTTATCATGAAGATGGCGCACTCGAACAAATAAAAGCATACTTCTCGCACTTCTGACTCCCATCGTACCTAACTGAAGTGCAATGTCCCTTGTAATAGGTTGCCTTACCTCTGAGCGAGCAGACATTCTACCTATCTAGGAGTCTCGGGGACCGCGAGCACAGAGCTAGTGTTTGTTGATAGGCGAGTTCGAGTCGTGCGAATCGAGGAGCTTCACTCTTGACATCCCACCCGAAAGCCGTGTTACAAGACCCGTTGTTTTCCTCCGGATCTTGTTAGATGCCTAACTGCTATTGGAAAGAATTCAAAGTTTAAAAAAAGTCTTGGATCGGTTGGACCCCGCTTTATCTTCAGAACGTTTCCCAGTTCCCACCACGTTTGTTGCAGTCCTAGCGTCGTGGTCTGATACTCCATCAATCCAGTGAAGATCTGCAAAAAAAAATGGCCTCTACGCAAGCTCAGTCTCTACACGGCAAAGTCGCTATCGTGACTGGCGGCTCCAGAGGAATTGGTGCCGCCATTGCTGTCGAACTAGCCAAGAGAGGCGCAAACGTCAGTTCAGACCTTAGTCAATTTTTCCGATCATTGATGAGCCTGGACTTCTGACAGGAACCCCTAGGTCGTTATCACTTTTGTTTCAGAGAACAGCGTTAGTGTTGCGCAAGATGTAGTAAATAGCGTCAAAGCCTTGGGCAATGGGGCGGATGCCGTCGCAGTGCGAGCCGACGTGTCCTCGCCCGACTCTCCCGCGCGGGTCGTCGAGACCACTGTCAAAGCGTTTGGAGAACACATCGACATCCTCGTGAACAACGCCGGTATAACGTCCAAACTACCCGTGTCAGAAGTTACACCAGCAAACTTCCAGGAGAGCATCGACGTCAACCTCAAAGGGCCCTTTTTCATGTCTCAAGCCGTCATACCGCACCTCCGCCGTCCAGGCCGCATCATCAATATCACTTCCGTCGCAGCGCGGGGCGGCTACGCCTCCGCGAGTCTCTACTTGGCCTCCAAGGCCGGACTGGAGGGTCTCACGCGTGCCCTAGCCGCGGAGTTGGGCCCGGCGGGACATACCGTCAACGCGGTTGAACCCGGTGTCACGGAGACGGACATGGCGCGCGACTCAGGAGCCTCGGAGGCTCACGGGGAGCACGTCAAGATGATTGTGGCCATGACGCCTTTTGAGAATCGGATGGGCAAGCCGGAGGATGTCGCGTATGTTGTTGCTATGCTTGCGGAGGAGCAGGCGAATTGGGTTACTGGGCAGACTATATCTGCTTCTGGGGGGTTCTCAATGTTGTAGGCTACCTTTAAGTCCGAAATATACAGCTGCTATTCCGCTCAGGAGTCACTTCAAGATCTGACCAAACGAGTCTCCGTGTCTCATAAGCTTGACTATGATTGTTCGAGGGGCCGTAGCCTTCTTTGATGTTTGGGTTGTTCGCTGATAATTCTGGTTTACCGTCAAACTCCAGAGTGATTGTGATGTATTTTCCAGAATTGCGTAGATTTGACTCCAGCCCGTGCCCAAATCCCAGGCCTTACTGACGCTTACAACAAAGCAATCACGCGGCCATCATGAGTTCCTGCAGGCGGCGCAGAACCTCGTCCTCACCAGGATAATCAGGACCCTTGATAGACTCAAAAGCCGGGAGCAGGACGGCCTCGTCAATCTCCTTGTACTTTCCAAGCTGCACGTGAATCACATTCCCGTTCCGGGATGTATCGACCATCAGATACGCTGCGCCGCGGGCAACCGCTTCTGCGGTCTGTATTTCGACTCCAATCTTGGCCATAAGGCCTTTCAAGTCCGGCAGTACGCTGCTATCCGCCCACGTTGGCGCCAAGGTGTTGACTCTGATGGGCAAATTGGCGGATGCGATGAGCGGGATCAGACCACGTCCGAATCCGAGGACCGCATGCTTGGCCGTGGCTGAGTTATGTTGTTAGCTGGAAAGGCTAGCCACGGAAAGGTCTCAAACTTACAGTAGTCCACGGCACGAAGCCGTTGGAGACCGGTGGTAGAACCGTTGATGACAATGCTGCCACCCTCGGCCTGTTGCCGCATGTAGTATATCGCGATCGTAGCCGTGTGCATTACACCTGTGAGACTGACATCCAGAAGCTGGTGAGTGGGTTCCTTCAGATCGCCATTCTCATCTACTTCCGTAGACAGATAGTTGGCGCGGGGACCGAGGCCAGCGTTCGCAAAGACATGATCGATACGTCCATAGATATCTTTTGCCTTCTTGAAGAGTGCGATCTGTTCAGCCCAGACGGTGACATCGGTCTTCACAAACGTGTAAAAGTTTTCGGGTTGCTCCGCTGGCGGCTGAATATCTGCGTTAATGACGGAAGCACCCTGTGAAAGAAGCGTGTTGACTGCAGCGAGGCCAATGCCTGATGAACCTCCTGTCACGATGGCCACCTTGCCCTTGAGCCCGACCAAGTCTTTGTCTTCAATGAGAAATTCGGTCATTTTTGTGTACACAAATGCGATGTCGTTGAGTTGGAGTTGCACACACGTGGCTTGGCAAAGCTTGTCGATATTAATAGCTGATTCACCCCAGACCCAGTCACTCGCAGACATTCTTCAACCCCCTCCCAAAAACCAGGCAACTGTGATGTCGTGCGACGTGTCGGTGGCCGAATGGGACTCAGACCGGGATTTGGACTGTATGCGGTGTAGCCAGGCCCATTTTCAAGCTAGGGAAGCGGAAAAGCGGCCACTTTGGACTTTCTGTTTTAGTTCCAGAGTGCGACGCGTCGAGTAAAAAGCGTAAGCTGGGTGAGGGCCCTGGTGCTTTGCGGTATTTCTCAGTGATCAGTGACAGGGGTTTTTGTGGGATGTGCATTGGGGGCGGCCGCCGTGTCGCAGAGCAAGGGAAGGAATTATATTTTTGACGGTCTCGTAGCGCTGATTGGACCTTGCTGATAAGTGAAATAATGTGTCTATCTCCTAATAATTGTAGATCGTCCCCTGCTGATCGAACAATATCCAAGTTGCAATCTCCAGCGCTCATATGACTGACGCTGCATGTCGTTACCAGAAAGAAAGGACTGAAGGGTTAAAAAATGCCGTAACAGTTATTTACTTTGAACAATATTACCTGCAGGCTAATATCCTTACAATTGAGGAGAGGCATATCGGGGAGCTCATGATTCAAACAGACTTCTTGCCGCACTCCGTCAAGGACTCACGTCTAACCGGTATACATGATTGTGAAGAGAGGTAGATACTTGAAAATTGCCGCTGGCTTTAATCGTTTAGAATAAGATTGAAATGCATATGTGACCAACTGACTAACCACCAGAGATCCATCACAGACTTCAGTCTTTGAAGTGAGGGTGGAGTGCATGAATGACAACGTTGAAACTACTCAACTAACAACCTGCTTGTTGAGGAATAAGGTTTGCACATTACAGAACCCTTTCAGGCCATTTGCACCCCACTCAGTTCCGATACCACTCTCCTTGTGCCCTCCGAATGGAGCTAAAGGTGTGAGATCGAAGTGTGTGTTGACCCAAACATTGCCTGCTTGGATTTGCCTAGCAATCTTGGCAGCTTTCTCCAAATCGTTTGTCCACACGGATGCTCCAAGGCCCATCGACGTGTCATTGGCGCGGGAAACAACCTCATCTTCGCTGCTCCAGGAAAGGAGAGGAACAATGGGACCTGTTCAAAATGCATCAGAGCCATACTCTTATGGTTGGCAAGGGCTGGAGGAACCTACCAAAGGGCTCCTCGACGACCAGGCGCGACTTCTCAGGAGGGCGATCGATGATCGTAGGAGTGATGAAGTAGCCTTCAGACTGCTCAACGTTGCCGCCTACGGCAACTTTCCATCCTTGAGACTCGATGTCCGAGAAGAATGTCTTGACTCGTTCATACTGCATCGAGTTTTGCAGAGGTCCATGAGTGACGCCAGGTTGTGAGCCATCACCAAGGTTGTACCCCTTGACGTGCTTCACTAAGGCTTCCTTGAAGCGGTCAAAGATGGTCTCGTGCACGTAAATACGTTTCAAATTCAGGCAGATCTGATGTAAAGTGTTAGCGAATAGTTCTGTGTAACTACAGCATTATCTCAAGGTATTGGGATATAGGAATGATAGGATAAGAACACATACCTGGCCGGAGTTGAGAAAGGCGAAAAACGCCACCTATATTAAGTACTTCAATCAGTCGTACTAGGCTGCGAACTCTCTGGATTATACACACCTTCTCAGCGACCTTGTCAACATCTACATCCGGGAACACGATAGCAGGATCGTTTCCTCCCCTTTTGTCGTCAGTCTTTACCATAAGGTAATAAGCAATGCCAATACACTCACAATTCCAGCGTGACTCTCTTCAATGTCTTGCTTACGCTCTGCATTAAGTCGCCCCACCCCCTTTTAGCCCCCCCCTACATTTGGCCCCCCCTTAACATCATAATCTCAAAACATCGCTACTAACTATACTTAATTATTTAACTATCTTCTACTACTATAATAATATAATTAAAATTATCCCTAAGTAATTCGACCCTTATGAGTTAATTAGGACTAATAAAATAGTTATTAATATCCTCCTAAGCTCTCTAAATATTTTTAATATTAGCGAACTTAGTATTTAGGTTTATTAAAATACTCTTTTTTTTTTAAATATTATATACTAAACTTTTATTTTTAAAATTCGAACTTAGTACTAAGTTATAGTTAATTAATAAGCTTATTTATTAAAAGCTTTTTTTATTTTTTTAAATAATAATTATTAAGTATTCTTATTTAAACTAATATTACGGCTAGCTAGTTATAATAAGTATATTAGCAAAAGTTAAAGCTACGAGTACTAAATAAATAGTATCGTAGTTATAAATAGCTTTTCTAAAGCTATATTTATAAATTATAAAATAAATAAAGCTTTAATAATTAATTATAGTTTTATTAAAAGGGGTTTTTAATAAAAATAGTTAAAAGTAATTATAAAATTTAATACTAAGTTAATTATTAAAAAAACTATAAAAAGTCTATCCTTAAGCCCGGCTTAAGTTTATACTATATATAAATCTCGTTCTTAAATATATCTTTTATAATATTCTTATTTATTATTATTTAACTATTTATTAAACGGTAATTTATTTTATTTATTTATAATTATCTATCCTACTTATTTACAAGTATCCGTTCTTTATTTTATTATATAATTATAATTACGTAACTTATTTATAGTTTTTTTATTTTAAAAAAAATTACCCTAAGTCCGTACTCTTATATATATAATATAATACTTACTATAGGTTTTATAAAACGAGGCCCTAGCTTTATTATATATATTAAGTTATAATATTAGCTCCTTTTTTTAAAAATCTAGTCCTCTAGGCTTATAAATAAGTTATTTATTCTTAAATTAGAAAATCGTTAAGTATTTTTTTAAAATATATTAATACGATATTAAGTTAAATTAAAAAATCGAAATCTTTAATAACTACGTTTTATTATAAATTATTACGTATTATTTACTTTTTTAATAAAAGTATAGAAATAATACTTTATTTAAATTATTATTTATAAGGGGTCCGTTATTTAATTCTTTTTAATTCCGAGGTTTATAAAACATACTATTATTTAAGTATTTTATATAATATATTTATTAATACTATTTATATTTATAAATATTACGTTTTTTATTTATTAATTTTTAACTTAACTAAATATAATTAGTTAGTTAATAATAGAGTTTAATCGTTTTAATTATAAAAAAAAATAAAAAAGTCGTAGTTTTAAAAGAGGGCTATAGAGTTATAAAAAAAAGCTAAGGCTTATTAATAAGCTTAAGCTAAGTTAAATAAGTTATTATTTAAGTTAGAGCGTTTTCGTTCTTAAAAGCGAATAATATTTAAAAAAAGTCGAATTATATTAGAAGAGTTTCTTAAGGATTCCGGAAATACTTCTTTAATAACTTATAAAATATAAGCTAATAATACTTTTAAAATTATTAATTACGATATTATAATAACTAAGAGCTCTAAATTTAATCTTAACTTTAATATTTTTTAAAAAGTTATTAAAAGTTTTAGAAGTTTATAATAAGTTCTTATATATTTTTTTTATATTTATAGTTTTTTTATTTAATAAAGTATTCCTTTTTATTATCCTTTATTTTATAATTAATAATTCGTTTAACTTTATATTTTAATTAGTTTAGTTTAATAATAATATAATTTTTTATATATAAACTTCTTAGTATAAACTTAAGTAATAAAATATAAAAAACGGGGTAATATCGTATTATATTTAATAGTTTTAATTTATAATTAATTAGTAAGACTTTTTTAATAATTTCGAAAGGTCTAAGTTTTTTATAATTTAACTTATTATTTAGTCGTTTTGTTTTAATATTATAATAAAAAAAATAAGTACTATCCCCCTTTTCTAAGGATAATCCTCTAATCCTTAATTTATTTACGTTCTTTTTTATATATTATTATATAAACTCGAGGTTTAATAAGGCTTATATATAAATTTCTTTAAATTTATTTACGTTTATTATAGCTCTTATAGTTTATAATCCTTATTATACTTTTTTATATATTATTAATTAAAATCCGTAGTTAAAATAAAACGGGGATTCTCTTATACTTTTACTAACTATACTATTATATATAAACTAAGCTATTAATAAGAATACTACTTAATTATCCTAGTTATAATTTATATAATAATAAAAGTATATTTCGAGGATCTAATTAATCCTTTCTATTTATTTATTAGTTTATAAATAAAATAATATTAATAGTTTATAATTTATACTAAGTTATAAAATTAAAAATTTCTAAAACTTTAAAATAAATAGCTTATCTTTATTAAAAATAATTTCTTTTAATAAGCCGTAGTTTAAAAATATAACTTTAATAAATACGTATACTAAGTCTTTTATAATACTTAATTCTTTATAAAGAATAAAGTGCGCAAACTTAATAAGTCGGTTAACTATAACTAAAATACTATTATATTATACTTTAATAAATAGTTCTTTAAACTTTAATAATTTAATAATAAAGTCTTATATAATTAATTACTATATTTTTATTAGTAGTTATAATAGTTATAGCTTATTATAAAGCTTATATAGGCTATTTTTATTTTTTTTATAAGTCGCGCAGTTTTTAATTACTTTTATAATTTTAATATATATAATAAATTTATTCCCCCCGACGGAGCAATCCGCCGGGGCCGTACCGTGTATTACGTATTGGGGAAAACTGGGTATATTGCGCTCCATACCTAACTACTAATCAAAACAGTCAACCGACTCGACCATTGTCTCCCTTTCATCAACAGCTCCCAACCTTCCGCCGCCCGCCTACAGGGCGAGCTTCACCCACTCCAACGCGCACAGGACCTCCTGGTGCCAGCCCGCGTGGGCAGCCAGGTCCAGCATAATCTGTTCTTTTATATGGGTATTATCGTTACCCGGGGGGTCCCG